TGTGATATTATTAGCTATTTCTTGCTATCCTTCCTAAATGTTGTTATAAATGCATCTGGATTTATTGTTGGTTCATATTCACTTTTACCACGTTCCACCATTATCTACATGCCGCAAAATGAATAAACATAATGGCTTTGACATCCATAAATGATGTTTCTCTTCGTGAACCTTTGGATGATTATCTGTGTAATGTACCAATTTAGCATTTTAAAGTTTGCAAGGTGTAGTTAGTGTAATTGAATGCAGAAGATATTTACATGTCGCGGTAGTTATTATGCTGCTCTTTAGTAGCTGTTTCTCTAAATGTCACTTTTCCGTTGCAGTATTGAAACAATTACTCTTGGGGATAAGAGGATTGGAATCAAGACTAGTGTCCTGGAGGAAAAAGCTACTGCTTGCAATATGCTCTGTTGCTATGCTGACGAGTTGAAAGAAGGATTCTTTCCTTGGATTGATCAGGTCTTTCATAGTGTATCATAATTATTTTTCTTACCCGGCTTCCTATGAATGGTACTTAAAAATGTAATGTTTGTGCAGGTTGCCCCAACTTTGGTTCCACTTCTTAAATTTTATTTTCACGATGAAGTTAGGAAGGCAGCTGTTTCAGGTATTTTTTATTTTTGATATTAAATGTTTTTATTTGGGGTTTCCCCTTCTGATAAAGATGTAGTTGGAGGTTTGATAAGGAAAGATCTATTTTGTCTGTAGCGATGCCGGAGCTGCTGCTTTCTGCAAAATTAGCCATAGAGAAGGGGCAAGCTCAAGGTCGTAATGAAACCTATATAAAGCAATTGTCTGACTACATTGTTCCAGCTCTGGTGGAAGCATTACACAAGGTTGTTTATTATTTGTCAATTAAGCCTCCTCGATCAGGGTGTAATGATATGATGTTTTTCTGAAGTATGAGAGTGCAATTTTTGTGCAGGAACCTGATACAGAAATATGTGCAAATATTTTGGATGCACTAAATGAATGTTTACAGGTATGCCATATTTTGAAGAAATTTATTAAATTTCCTTCGAGACCTGGTTTAACTTGTGGTACTTATTCTGCACAAGTTCAGCTCTGTGGTGATGGAATTGCTAAACCCGATTTGGGTGCCTTGCGCGGCCCACCAAAGTGCTTTACGCTTCTGACCTGGGATCGAGCCTGCCTCCTTAGAGTGCGCGGTGTCTCTCCCATTGGAATGGTTGGTAAGCTAGAGCTTATGCTTTGGTACCGTCCAGCAAGAGTCTCCCAATCGGGTGAGCTTGACTGGTCTCTCGGAGAGGTACCCAATCCTCGGAAGATCCGGGATGAAATGTTGCCTCATATCTTGCTGGGCACCAGTAGTCTACGTATCTTGATTGCAATTTGATACTGGATACTATTGGATACTCGAGTTACCCTGTTTTTCTGCTTTTTATTTCAACGTTTTGCAAAAGAAAAAACTACGGTAATTATAAGAATAATAGTTTATCATTATATCTTAATTAGTATTAAACTTTGAATTGAAGACAGTTACTGCATACTAATTTTTATGTAGTTGCTACTCTACTGTCTAAAAAAGGGTTCTATTTGAGTTTATTCATACTTTGCTTAGTTCGAAATTCAATAACTTTATTTTGGCATTTCCATCTTTATCATTGCTTGAATAAGACAACATTCATGCATTCTTTGCATCTTTTTTTTTCAGATATCTGGACCGCTTTTAGATGAAAACCAGGTCAGATCCATTGTGGAGGAGATAAAGCAGGTGATCACTGCCAGTTCAAGTAGAAAAAGAGAGAGAGCAGAAAGGACCAAAGCAGAAGACTTTGACGATGAGGAAAAAGAGCTAATTAAAGAGGAAAATGAACAAGAGGAAGAAGTTTTTGATCAAGTAAGTTTTCTCAAATACAATCCTTAAGTAGCCCATCAATACTATTGCTGATGTTTTCATGATTTTCTTGAACACTTTTTTTCTTATTCCAGGTGGGGGAAATCTTAGGAACTCTGATTAAAACATTTAAAGCCTCTTTCTTACCTTTCTTTGATGAGCTATCATCGTATCTAACACCAATGTGGGTGAGTTTCGTCTCAAGGGAGCTTCCCACTTTACAATTCCAACTTATTTGTTTATATTTGCTTAGTATCATTCCCTCTGATTGTCATTTTGAGGAACCAGAATGTTCATTTGAAAATCTTATTACTTATGTTCTGTTGTGCCAATCTTTATTTTCGAGTTAGTTTCTTTGTTTAAATTATAATAGTGGGTCCAAACCAACAGGCCAAGGATAAAACACCTGAAGAGAGAAGGATCGCAATATGCATCTTTGATGATGTTGCGGAGCAGTGCCGTGAAGCAGCTTTAAAGTATGTTTGTTCTATTAGAAATGTTTGGGCTGAACTAAGTCATATTATTGTGAACTCATCTTTTGTTCTGATGTTGTTGGATCAGATATTATGACACATTTCTTCCTTTTCTATTGGAGGCCTGCAATGACGATAACCCTGATGTTCGACAGGTCTGATCTCACCAATCTATTTTAGTATGTACAAGGGTACTTTTTTCCGTAAGTTTTATGTGATTCTTTTTGTTTTTGTTTCCTTTTCAGGCAGCTCTATATGGACTTGGTGTCTGTTCAGAGTTTGGCGGAATAGTAATTAAACCTCTTGTTGGCGGTAAGTCTGCTTGTATGTCTTACATAGTTGGAATATTTCTGATTGCTTATTGTAACACTTTCGGATGCCTTTATCCAGAGGCTCTTTCAAGGCTAAATGCTGTGATTCAGCATCCTAATGCCCTGCAAGCTGAAAATGTGATGGCATATGATAATGCTGTTTCTGCTTTAGGAAAAATATGTCAATTTCATCGTGACAGTATTGATGCAGCTCAGGTACTTTATTTTTGTTGTGACATGTGAAATTCATTTGTTTTGTTGCCACTGTATGCAGTGTGTGCACTAGACAGTGTTTTCTGATTTTTTTTAGCACAACACTACTGTTTTGTTGTAACTTTTATTTCAAGATTTATTGACATATTTCTTTTATTGGCTGCAAATTTTTTATTTCTTCGCTTTATGGTTTGTCAACTTTCTGTCATTTGGCAGGTAATTCCTGCATGGTTGAACTGTTTACCAATTAAAGGTGACTTGATTGAAGCCAAAGTTGTTCATGACCAACTTTGTTCTATGGTGGAAAGGTAGAGCTTCATCTGTCTTTTACTTTGTGCCTAATCCTGTTACTTTTCGCCTTTTCATGCAATTAACGTTTAGAACACCATGACCGATGAAATTTATAGAGGTGCACCTTTGTAATCCATCTGCAGGTCTGACAGAGAACTTTTGGGTCTCAACAATCAGTGTCTTCCTAAAATTGTTGCCGTGTTTGCTGAGGTTTGTGATCCATAAAATGATTTAGCACTTTTATACCAAGTATTTTATACGCACTTAGAAAATCATGATATGTGATATTCTCTTTTCCTCAATAACACATCTCATTAACTAAGAAAAGTACAAGTTCAATTGCCTAATTTGCTTTGTTGTACCGGTCTTGCTGATAGCTGTAAACTTTTTTCACGATGATATTGCCCATTGCCCTTGCTGATTTTGTTTGTAATACATATTCAAGAGTGCGAGAATATTTACTTTGAAGGGTATGATTGTTCTCTCGTAGGTTCTATGCGCGGGTAAGGATTTAGCAACAGAACAAACTGTAAGCAGAATGATTAATCTATTAAAGCAGCTTCAGCAGACTTTGCCGCCAGCAACATTGGCCTCAACGTGGTCCTCCTTGCAACCTCAGCAACAGCTTGCACTGCAATCTATCCTCTCCTCATAAGTATGGTGGCTTGGATTGTGCATATTTCTGCTTTCGGATACACAGATCTGTCTTGTGTGGTAATTTGTGTCACCAATTCTTTTCCTTGAGATGGTTCCCGGCAGTTAGTTTTGCCAAGTGTGGGTGTCATCGTTGCGATTTGATCGTCTACTCCTTTTGGTAAAGACGGGGTATATGCAAGTGTCAATTGTGAGGGCTCTTTTTGTGGGTGGCTGAGGTTCGTGAGGGTTGTTGGTCGACAAATTTGTGTACCAGTTTTGGTCTCGTTTGCATGTTTGATGTATTCTATGTCTACGTTTTATATTGTGAGAGTCTGTTGCTAGTGGTTGATTCTTTCATTCTGTTTGAAATTTTGATCCCAAAAGGCAATAAATTGGCTTTATGGTTTTTACGACTGTAGATGCTCATGTGTTGTGTTGGATTGAGCTTCGGCAACTCTCACATTTTTCGTCTTTTCATTACTTTCACGCGTAATCGCTTCAAGCAACGGTGGAAAGAGTGTTTGGGCCGTTTCTGTTCAAATTCGTACAAATAAATGTCCAGGAGTATTGGGTTATAATTTAAGGCCTACATTCAATGTCATTACTTCAAAATTGGGATCACGATCAAAGTTAGACTAGACTTGGAGCTCGTTTAGATATACTTTTAAAATAATTGAAAGTGTTTTTGGTAAAAATGTTTTTGGAACCAATCTTTAGTAAAAATGAAAGTAAATCCTGGAAAAGCATTTAAAAGTGTTTCCTAGAAGAAGCACATAACTGGTGTTTCTTGCAAAAACCACTTAAAGTGCTTTTGGAACCTAAAAATATTTTCTCTAAAAATGTTTTCATCCATTTTAAAAGCACATCAAAATAAGTTATTGGTTAACTGAACATTATGAAGGAAGTTAGGTCCCTTCGTATACCGAACAATTTGTAAACCTATAAATTTGAAGTGCGTAAAGATGAGTAAACCTTGAAAGATTTGTGGCAGTTGGACGAAAATGCAAGTTGGATTAGGATGGAAGAATAATTTTCTTTTGAGAACGACAATAAGGCCAGCAATGCAAGTTGGAAGAGTGCATTGGTTTTGTTTGGAATGTTGTAAAGCTTAAGAAAAAAGTTATATAGAACGTCAATAAGGTCAGCAATGTTTTATAACAAAAAATGTTGGTAGGTCAAAAAATAACACATGCACAAAATTATTATGACGATATGAGAATGTTTTGATGGATATGTGGCCACACAAGAAAATATAAGATTGAAACAACTTAGCGGAGAAACTTCATTGTTATTGTTGTTGTTTTGGGTGGGAATAGTCATCTGCGGGTATAAACAGAAGGTCCCAAGAAAACGAGTGCGCTTGGGCCTTAAGCAGAATCAGCACGGCAGCCGTGACTTTTGCAGTCTCGACAACCGTCTCACCAAATTCACCGCCGCCGTGGTTGCTTGTCAGAGCATCTAAAGCGTCCAAAGCCAAAGCCAAACCAAAACCCGCCCCTTCTCTCTCACTCTCTCACTCTTCTCACTGGTTATGTGAGGCAAGTTAATAATCTCAAACTTGCCTTTGGTTTTGATTCTGTTGTGTCTGCAGTCACTTTAGTAATCGCACACTCCGTCATCGAATTACAAGTTTCAGACAGCTCAGAAGATCACTCGTTATTGACATTTTGAATGCACTCAAGCTGTTTGTGAAAAGTTGTGAGTGGCAGGTGGGTTGGACCGATGGGGGCTTTCGAGTTTCGAGATCATTTTTCGACGAATTATGGTGCTGAGGCGTAGTGGGAGGCACTGAGGACAAGGGAGAAGATGCTTAATTGGTTATGTAGGCGTTGCTTTTGCACGGCTGCTCCACGGCCATGGCTATTTGTAGGTTTGGGCAATCCCGGCGATAAGTACAAAGGAACTAGACACAATGTACTATACAATATCATGCATTCTAGAGACCCTGATTTGATAATGTGTTGTATTTCTTGTTTTTTGTTTTAATAACAAGTTTCAGATTACTTTCCTTTGGTTTGAAGCAGACGGGGTTTGAGATGATTGATGCTTTCGCTAATTCACAAGGCATTGCAATGAACACGGTCCATTGCAAAGCTATCTTTGGGCAAGGCAAGTGAATCTTTGCATATGTTACTTTGTCGTCATTTTTTATGTTTGTTTGTGAAGTTCATGGAAGTTTGGTATTGTAGGTTTCGTGGGTGGAGTTCCGGTTTTTCTTGCAAAGCCTCAAACTTATATGAATTTGAGTGGTGAATCTGTAAGTGGCTGATATACTTCCTTTTCACAATCTGATGGAATTATGATATTCTACTTCTATTTGCAAAAAGGTTATTCATTGATCTAGCCTACTGAAATGATATTTGTTCTGTGCATTTCATTCCTTCTAGCACACTTCCAAACCCATTTGCAATTCCTTCGTGATTTGAACTGCTTCACTTTTGGCTTAGAGCTATTAATCCTACTGCTTATGTAACTAATGTTAGTAAAAGAGATATCAGTGAATGGTTTAACTCGTGTTTCTATTTGTTAAACAGACGGGGCCTCTTGCTGCTTATTATAAGCTACCTCTCAATCGTGTGCTAGTGGTAATTTCTTCTAATTTTAAGCTTTTTTGTACTTATAGCATCTGTACATATCTTTATAGTATTCCTTTTATTCTTGGCTGCAGTTTCATGACGACATGACCTTACCATGCGGGGTACTTCGTCTTCACCCAAATGGAGGTCACTTATGCCACAATGGGTATGATCAAACTTATTACTTTCGGGTTTTAAGCATATATGCTTCTATATGATATTATGATTAAGCAATGATGAAAAATGTCTTGCCCAAATGTTAGAACCCGCCTGGACATTTATGTTTACCATGGTTGTAGTTACATAGCCTGAATTGCTGAGTTCACAATAATTGGTGAGCTAATTGTATAGTAGCTGCATATTAGGATGGCTCTTTGGTATTAGTAGACCATCACTACTACCATGAAGAGTAAAGACCATTATTATGTGGTGTTACCAGAATTCTTCTGGTCAAGCTTCCCTTTTTCGGGCTCATCAACCATTAAGCACTCATATAATTACTGAAAATGTATTAACTTTCCTCTATCTCTTGAAAGGCCTTTCAATTTTGCCATCTCCCGCTTTCAAACTTAGGGAAAATATGTGGAATCCGGTACTTATCACTAATTTTTTTTTTGTTATTCAGGCTGAAGAGTGTGATCTATCACTTTCGAGGGAACAGAGAATTTCCTCGACTAAGAATCGGTGAGTTTGAATGTCCAAATTTCATAGTTCTGTTACTGTTATTATCACTTCCAAGTGCTAGAAAGTATGTTGAATTTCTTGTAAGGTATCGGAAGGCCTCCTGGTCAAATGGATCCGAAAGCATTCTTGCTGCAAAAATTTAATGCCACAGCTCAAGGACGAGTAAGTATATTTTGGTTGTGTATTTGTCTCAAACAACATTTCTTAACACATCCATATTCTTAGTTTGTTTCTCCTATTGCATTACAACAATTACCAGATACTTAGAATTTATAAAAAGTATATTTTGAAGGATTATACTACCGTTTGTTTGCTTGTTATTTACTGATTCAACTGTGGATAAGACGTTAATTAAGGAGGTAGTCCTAGCTGTTTAGAAAACTATATGAAATCTGATCTTTGTAAGATCCATTCATTCCAAATGGATTGCATTCATTTTAAATTTGGCCAAGTATTATCGAATCCTGCATTTTACGTAATTGGACTTGTTTTCTGCTTAACAATTTGATGTCTAATCTTTATCTGGTTTATGTTATCATTCCTTATATCCTAATGTAAGTCTGGTAATTACTTGGAGGGATAATGATGATGTGCCTGTTTGATCTAGATTGATGCTGCTTTGCAAGAGGGAGTTAATATATTGAAGGTCGTGCTTTCTAAAGGCTTTGCAGAAAGTGCAAGACGCTTCAACTCAGAGCAGAAATACAAGCATCTAAGAGTAGAAACCTTGCCAACATGAATTTACACAGTGGCATCTGTAAATGAGTAAATGGGTTTTTGTTTTTTGGGATAACACTTGGGTTGTGATTGTCAGAATATATGGAAACTCGACCGGTTGTTGAATCTAAAATCAAGAGGACGTACGGGTGTTGCATTGTTGACAATTCATGTCATCGAGTAGGGTTCTAACAATCACGGCTAAAGGATTATCCTTTGTTTTGAGATCATCTTTTGTGCTATAAATGTGACCCGTCACCCATCAGCTTTAAATTTCTTCAATGAAGGTAGAGCGATAAACTTGACCCATCATTTCTCAAAGTTTTGCCGGGGAGTAGGAAGTCGGAAGTCTCAATGTCTCATGACTAGGGGTTGGGATTAGACTTATTAACAGATCAGGTTTATCGGGTTTGGGTTGGGTTCAATCTGACCCGTTAAGTTAACGGGTTATCCGATCGATCCGTTAGCTTAACGGGTCACTTATTTCACCCGTTAACAATTTTTTTTTTTTTTTTTTGCATAGAGTTTATTTTTTGTTGTTAAGATTTTACTGAAATTACTAAAACATCTTCAACTAAAGGATGCTAACGAGTTTAACGGGTTGACCCAAAATGACCCGTTATTTAATAGGTTGTTAACGGGTTCATCCGTTAGCGATCCGACTCGTTAATCATCTATCCAAATACTAATATTAACATGTAGGATCAGGTCGGGTTTAAAATGTCAGGTGTAGTTGGGATCCGGTGGGCACCCGGTGCATGATTTTATCATAAATGTGTGACTTCAGGTCAACAAGCTCTCTTCATGGTCGTGGAGAGTTTTATTTTTGCTTTGCATAAAGGTTACTTTCAGGATTCGAATTCGTGATCTTTCGAAGAACAACAATTTCGTAAGACTCGTCTTTCGGTCAAACTCGTTGAATAAAGCGGAAGACTGGGGGAGTGGCTGCCGCTGGTTGTAGTTTTATTTGTAAGTTTGTCTGAAAAATAATATAGAAAAGAAAAGAAAATAATGGCTGAGTGCTCTGCGGGTCCCGTCTCCGGCATCCGTGCTGTCAATTTTGCTGCACTTAATGATTCAACTTCCCCAGTCCCACGCGCATACGAGTAAAGGTTACACCGATACTCTCCCATACGCAAAGCGTAATTGAAAGGAATATGAAAAAAAAAGGTTAAAACAGAGTAGAGGTTGTAGGTTTGTAACTCTGTAGTTAAGATGATTAATTCATGCACTTGAGTTATATTGGAGGTTAAAAACTATAGAATTATATACACATCGTCTAATATTTTAGTGGATATGGTGTTTCAGAGCAGTTCCACCAGAACACCATTAGGCCGGCACCCAGTCAAAAAAAGGGGCCGGGACTCAGTCAATCCACTCCAACCCGTTCAATTGCCTGGCACCCAGCCCAAGCTGGTCTTAGACCAGCCTAGAATTGACAGAGCTAGGGATTGGGCTATTAGCGTGCGTTTTTTGGGAATGGCGCTAAGGAAACGCAAGACGACTGAGCAAGAAGAAAAGCAGCTGGTGGCGCTGGCGAAATCAAGCTAGTGACCCGTTGCCTGACGCCCTCATCTTCGCCTTCCTCCTCCTCCTCACCTACTAAATCTTCATCGGCACCGTCGACATCTTCCTCCCGCTCCTCCCCTCATCGCCGCCTCCGGTTGTCCGGTCCCTCTGCGCCACCACCTCCCCGCCTCTCAAGGTCTACATGTACGATCTCCCACGTCGCTTCAACGTCGGAATTATAAACTGCCGGAGTGAGCTGGAAGAGAGAGAGAGAACCGGTTGGGGATGTAGAGGGGAGAGTATAGAGGGTAATGGAACCTGAAAGCCACTTACCTTTCGAAGGAAAGAGAGCGTAGATTTGAGTCCATGAGGAGTGAAGGACGACAGAGCGAGAGAGACGAGGCGGTGAGAGGGATGTGAGAAACCAGAGAGAGAGAGAAGCATGATAGATTGACTAGGCTATTTTTTGTTAGGGATGAAAATGCTTTGGTCTATTACTGTTCACTTGAGTGGATAAATGCGCTGGATGTTGGCGCAAGGTCTTTAGGGTGGACTTGCTCTCAATGCGTCTCAGATTTGAAACTCTATTTTTTTTTTAAATTATTGCAATATTTTCAAACCCTTCCACTCCTCTTAATAATAATAAATTAAAAAATGCAGGATTATAAAATAAATTAATAAAAATCAATGACTAAAAGTCGTCATATAAATGCTTAAAAGCTACTAATAACTAAGAGATATACATCAAGTGTATCTAATTAATATAGATGTACATAGCCACAATGGGAGAACTCCATACTGAAATTGTAAGTAAAAACATTGTGAGTGCACTAAATTGATGCAATTTTTTTTATAAGGCATGTCGGATCCGTAGAGTCATTCAATGAGAAATTGTCACGTTGACACGAGTAAGACGGAATTAACCAGCTGCCTCTAAATTCCAGTAGAGAAAATAGCACTGGTAAAGCAAGTGGTGATAAAGCAATAGATAGGCGCGTGAGAGTATATTCAGCTGCCCATCACAATATTATTACAACAAATATCCAGAGCTGTGTCTCGGCTCCCCATCTCTTATCTCTCGATCTCATCTCCCATCCTCCTCAATACCAAAGTACAAAACTATATCTACTTAAACACAAACAAAAAAAGAAAGAAAAACAAGATCAGGTTGTCAAGATATCAAAATCTCCATTTGTCTTCGCACTCGATCCACTCCTACTCAGAAGAAGAAGGAAAACAACACTGAAAAAGCTTTACAATGAGGAACCCGTCGTCTTCGTCGAAAGCAACAGCAGCAGCAAGTGCTACGATGACAACAGCATCGCCGTCGTCGAGCAAGGCGGGGATTGCCGGAGGGAGTAAGACGCCGTGTTGCGTAAAGGTGGGTTTGAAGAGGGGGCCGTGGACTCCCGAAGAGGACGAGCTGCTAGCCAATTACATCAAGAAAGAAGGTGAAGGACGGTGGCGGACCCTCCCCAAGCAGGCTGGGTTGCTCCGCTGCGGAAAAAGCTGTCGCCTCCGCTGGATGAACTACCTCCGCCCTTCCGTTAAGCGCGGCCAGATCGCCCCCGATGAAGAAGATCTCATTCTCCGCCTCCATCGCCTCCTCGGCAATCGGTAAAGCTATATACATACATACATACATTTATACATACACATTATCAATTTTCCTCGACAACATTATCTTATCCATATGTTCACTCTACAAATTTATCATCATTTCATTAAATTTTTAGGGTTAGGGTTTCACTGTTCATATCTATTATTTTGAATTAGGGTTTAATTAATATTTTGGATGTGTTTGTCTGTAGGTGGTCTTTGATAGCTGGGAGGATTCCAGGTCGTACGGACAATGAGATAAAGAACTACTGGAACACACACCTGAGCAAGAAGCTGATAAGCCAAGGCATAGATCCCAGAACCCACAAGCCTCTCAATCCAGATCATCACTCTGCTGCTGCCGATGCTGATGTGGGCAACACAAATAAATCAGCTGCTGCTGCTGCTTCTTCCAAAGCCAATAACCGATTCTCAAACCCTAATCCTAGTCCTCCTCCTTCTGATCGTCTTGTCCATCAAGGAGCGGATCCCAGTATCAACGGTAATGATGGAAACATCGCTATTGATGATCATGATCTGGGCACTATAGTCCATAGCTGTGCAAACATGACCACGTCCATTAACAATCCCGATGCTTCTTCTTCGGCCGCAGCAATGGGCACTTTGAGTTTAAGGACCAACAACAATAGCCACGCTGGAGTACTACTTGGGGGAGGAGGAAATGAAGAGGACGAGGACATCAACTGTTGTGCGGACGACGTCTTCTCTTCGTTTCTGAATTCGTTGATCAACGAGGATCCATTTTCTGTACAACACCAATTGCAACAACAGGTACTGCACAATGGGAATGTTAGTACACACGCAGCTGGTGCTGGTTCCGACCACGTTCCTTTGATTTCTATGACTAGTGCTAGTACTATGGCGCCGTCAACATTTGGCTGGGACTCTGCTGTGCTCATGTCTTCTGCTTTCAACCAAAATGATCACCAGAGGGTTACTGATCAAACGGAGCAGTAGCTAGCCACCTGTTTGATTGATCAATCACACTGCGCATGTTGAAACAAGCAATGCAGTTGCTTAATTAGTTAATTTATATGTGGAAATTAGTCCTAGGTAGGGTTTGAAATATCATATGAAATGTGATTTTGTGGGTACGCGGTATCTCTATTCTTAATTATTCGACTACTTCAGCATCGATCATTTTGGCACTACGGATAGGGGCGTATATCACTGTATGGTTGATCATGTTTGTAATGTTATCTATATATATGTTACCGGTATTGTAAAACAAACATTTGATCAATGTTAATTAATTTGTATTTATAAATATATAGAGAGTAATTTATGTGTGAATCAATTTCATGTTTTATACCTCTGCCACATTTCTCACTTTGCATACATACATACATACATACATATATGTATGTATGTACGTATAGGGTTTATAACCCTGATGACAATGCACCGAAATTATAATGTAAACACTTGGTATACAAAACTATAATGTCAGATGCTCAATTAAAGTTGATTTTCATGGAAGGAAATTATATATGTTCATTCTTTCTAAAGTGTGATCTTCATCGCATGCAAATTAAAGTTCATGGAGGGGGATCGATATGTTAATTCAACGCAGAAGAAGGTGCAAATTATCCCAGAAGTTCTATAACATAGTGAAGCTTTTACTGTACATTTATGATTAATATTGGCACTTAATGTATTCTTTGATGTTTGTATATCTCATATATAGTGTCAGTCAGATATATCCAGACTAATATGCTTCACTATTCAAAATCTACTAGCTAGCTAGCTAGCTAGATGCGTGGATCATGAACATATAAATCAGATACACATATACAGATGACATGAACATATAAATCCTCTTTGCTTAAATCCCAAATAAATCTTGTACTAATCCGTTTTGTATATCTGTATTCATTTGGTGCATAAACATGGTAAATATTTGACATCTTTCTAAAATCTTATTACATCTAGTATATAATGCATCTAAGTGAAAAAAGACTAGTTCTACAACCATGCTTTAAACAAATTGATCATGGAGGGTAAGTATGCAAAATAAGTAAATAATGATCCATATGATATATATGATTCCAAAATACGTTACAGCACAATGATATTGCGTGCATGAAAGGCTATAATCATTGTAGAAATTAAAATATCACATTCAGAATGTATTCATTTTTTTTAAATATTTCTAACTTTGAATTTTCTTGTTCTTGATTCTCATATAATTAAGTTTTCAAAAACGGGTCTTTTTTTATACCGCGTTTCTTTACTAAATCATCAAAAACATTTGAGGTAATGACAAAAACACGAAACATATATAGTAGTGTTTATTATTTCCCTACATATATATACGATAGCTCCAAAACATAAACAGAAAGAGGATATGGCCAACAACATCAAGGTTATAGACACAACTACTGATGTAAATTAACGTTGAAAGGAAAAAGAGAAAGAGAAAGAAAGAAAATTAAGTTCTTATATATGAAAGATCAATGTATGGTATTAGTTCGAAATATGTTTTGGTGCAAACTTTAGTAGTGAGCACGTATTCTTGCTTTCTGTATATATAATGTGAATATATATAATGTTTAATTTGATCAGAAGTACTTAAACCTACACATAATACCTTAGAAGACATTAATTCCATTAAGGGCATGAAGCTCTAACCTTATATATAATTTTAAACTCAAGCTAGTTATACACTTATACTACGACAAATCTGGGGTTAATTAAACCACTGTTTCTGTTTAGATAGAAACAGTACGTAGCACTTATGTTAATTCCAAGTAAGCACCAATTAATCAAGAAGCTATTTAATTAAGCCATCATGCAATATGCATACATACGAGTCAAGGATGAAAGTCACTTACTCAGAATGGCAGAGCATGAAATAACATCATCTGGTTTCAACTGATAATAATAATTCTTGAGTGTGTACACTTGATCATCTGTGGAACAAGATTTCGGTGAGCAATTTCAATCAGTTTCCCAACATTTCTGATGCGATATCGTCGTGTGAGCTTCCTGCAGAACCATGCATGGAGAATAAAATGAAATCAACGGAGTATACGCCCTTGATGCATATATGCATGTTAATCATATGCTGACCGTTGGATAACATCAACATGTTCGTTCTAATTATCTAAGATGGAAGATGGCTCACGACACCAGGCTGTTGGCTTATTGCACCTTCTCTCCCTCTATGACATATCGTATATTTTACCATAACAGGACAAGGCACGACAAGCTTACTCCTCAACACCTCAAGGCTTGCGCCTTGCTTTGCGAGACCCTAAATGTCTTGATTTACATCTTCGCCTCTAGAAACAGATATTGTTTATAGACCGATGTACAATAAATATTACAACAAATTAAAATTCTAATTTTTCTTTTTGTTGATAAAAGGCCTAAATATTTTCACGAGCACCTCCTCTAAATATGTGGACTCACAAACTTCATGTCTTAAACTATGAGCTATAAAATTAGTTGGGTTGTGTTTAGATGAGGGACTTAGAAGTCTCAAGGCATCGAGGCCAAATTAGTAAAAAAGATGAAACTATAAAATGTTACATAAATGCTATATTTGGATGAGGGATTTCCAAGTTATAGGATTAAAAGCCAAAATGTTGATAGGAGAGATTAGCTAATCCCTTTGCGGGATGTGTCATTTACAATCTCTCTTACATGTCTTTGTACTGCTCTATATATGATGCATTTCCTAATGCATTATATCCAACATTTTGTTATCATTTTCTTTATAATTTGGCTTTTAATCCCATGACTTGGAACTACCTTATCCAAAGTCAAGAACCCCCAAAACCATCTCAGCTTCAGCCCCCAAGCCCTTCCTCTTGGGTGGGATCGGTGGCAACCCCATCTCCTTCTTCCCTAATACCCTTCTTCTTCTTCCTTAACTCTATCTTCTTCCTTTTCTTGCCCTTGATTTCTAATAGTTTTGTTCTGAGAATGTCTCATTTTCCTTGAGCTTTGTCTTAGTTTTCTTAAGCTTTTTCTCATTTGTTGGCAAATCTTGTCGCTGATCCAAGTTTCATGCATTTTTCTTCCCAAATTGTTGTTCCTAGTTGCGAGCCACTGCCCACCTACTAGTTCGGCTATTCGGCTCCTCGAGTCCATGGAGTGTGCTTTGGATTCCAGTGGCTGCTACAGTGCATTTCGCTCTATTTGGTAGGATTATGGGAGTGGTTTTAGTGTGGGTGGCTTGCCCAACCCCATTTTCTGTTCATCATTTATGCATGTAGGTTTTTTTTTTTTTGTGGTGGCTTGGCGATGGTTGTGACACTAATTTGATGGATGAGGCTGGTTCTCGTTTCTAGATCTAGGGTTTCGACATAGGCATTGTTATGTTCTCACTTTTGGAGCTTGTTTTCTTATTTTACTTTTATAACTGGCTGCACTTTTATTTTAGTGTTGTGCATTGCATTTGAATTTGCCTTAATGTGTTTTATTTTTAATGAAAATAGTTGTTTGACCAAAAAAAAAAAAAATCTAGAAATTAACCAGGTAGAACTGAAACTCGAGCAAAGTGGTAGGTAACACAGTCCAAACTAGTAAAGAAACCTACCGTGGTATTGGGTATGTGGCCTGATTTTAATTTATATTGAATTCTAAATGGGCCTTTAAACATTAGCCCAGCTTATATTACTTGCCTTTTTGTCTACATAAGGGGGAAAAATAACAAATTTAACATAATGCACTTTACAGTTGACCTTAGTCGTTGTCTTCTAACTGTTCAGGACCGTTGTGGTTTGACCTGAGTATCCAAATATTTATATATCTGATAATCCAACCCTCCACTCAAAAGATCAAACTACCAGTCTTCTGCGATTGGTAGATGGTTTGTTGCATATCAATTTAGTAGCTGCTTCTAATACAACTTGTTTGACTATTTAAAACTTGAGTAATGCTATTTGTACACTCATTTTTATTTCTCATACATTTTTCTTAATTTTTGATTGTCGGATTGAATGAATTGAAAAAGATCAATAGCTAAAAATTAACAAGAATGTATGGAAAATAAAAATGAGTGTGTGAATAACATATTCCTAAAACCTTTGTTCTCTATCTATTTCCTCATGAAATATCTAACACTCCATTGATGTCCATGTGTATGAACATTTTTTGCGTATTGATACAAGCTAGCGAATCAGCTACCAATCTAATCTTATATGAATAGTCAACTAATGGGTGGGAAAGAAAGAAAAAAACACGGTTTCATGATTATAATCTTAGTGTTGTCAAGTTACAGACTTGTAATTCAAGTGAGTGAGCAAATTTATTTTCACTTCTCCGTCTGAGATCATGTTGGATTTTTTTTTCATTCTTAATATGACTTGTACAGAAAACAGTTTGTCATTTTATTTTCTTAGCAAATTGCAGTTCTTTGTCTTGATTAACATGCATCAAAACATTTTAAGGTTTTTTCTTTTCATGGGGTACTCTACGAGTAAAGGGTTAAAAACTTTATTCAAGTCATTTCCAATTCATGAAGAAACAAAAAAAGAGTGCATATATTATTTTGTATTAAATTTCAGGGGTGGGTCAAAGGCTCCGAAACAAGCTTTGAGAATTTGTCTTCTGGTGGGTCGTGTATTTTATCATAATTTCAAATGGGTCTCCAATGGGAACAATGCTGCACTTTTTCATGCCATAATATTTTCTCACATGATAAATTGAAGAAAACATCCCAAAAAATAAAAATAATCATAAAAATGTGAAAAAAGAAAGAAGAAGGAACATACACAGACAGACGGAATGCGTCGTGAGAGTTTTCTCGTCGCAAAGAAAACATATAAACATGAAAAACAGAGAAAAGAGACAAAACATATATAAACAGGCATTTGCTGTGAGCCCCATTTAACTTAATCATGATATTAACGTTTTTGGCCAGGCTCATTAACTAAGATGATAAGAAAAAGCTACCATGTCCATGCATAAATAAACCAACCTACTTCTCCAAAAAGCACTTAACATCCGCAAACATGAAGAAGGCAAGTATCAACACAAAATGATGAAAGCAAAACCCCATGTAAACAGAAAACAAGAAGCACAAGTTTTTCAGGACTTACTGATTCATATTCATCCGCGAAAAACTGTACATCTCCGCCGTTCGAGCCCTTTTCGCCAAATGCATTGCTGCTCGATGAGACTGGCGCAATGATCAAACGGGGTCATGGAAATCTCAGTAACTTAAAATAAGGGTTGAAACTGGAAAAAGTTGTGAGAAAGAAACTTCGTGTTGTAGAAAGCTCTTGCAATATATCATTTTTCTATACGCACCCAGTTTTTTTATAGGAAAGTACACGTGTCAGTCAGGTGTTTGGTGGCCAAAAGTTGCAGCTCCTAGAGGAAAGGGATCCAAGAAGATCCATTTATATCAAATCCACCTAATCCGGAATCCAGAACGTTGAAATTTGATCCAACGATTATAAATAAGAGGTTCCTTTAATTATAATAATTATAACTGTTGAATCAAATTTCAACAATCCGGATTCATAATTAGGTGAATTTGGTGGAAAGGAATCCGCTCCTAGAGCCAGTGTCCGGATCCCTTTCCCTCCCTAGACTAGAGCCAGTGAAATGGGGGCTTATAGTTGGAAGGTTTTGTCTGGGATTTGACCGGTAGATTTGTATTGTTTATAAGAAAATAACCGGCTGAGAATCTTTCTGATAAAATTGTAAGACCCAACCAAACGTTCTAACCCGAAAAAACAGGTCATGGTGTTTTGTTAGACAGACCAAACTTTCTAATCTTAATCTTTGCTGCCAAATACTTCCTTTCCCTTCTTCCAACTGCCTATCAGCTCTCAGTCTCTATCTGCATTTTTTTGTGGTACTATATATAATTTAACATCTGCTTATTGGGCCACTCTAGTATTTTTGTGTACTACGTTGGAGGGATGAGCATATCTTTGCAGTTCTCCACACTAAACTTTGAGGATTTGGGAACAGAGGAATTTAATGCAATGAACTCTACACACTTGTCAAACACTTAACTCAACATTTAATTATGGATTCCGTGTGTGTACCTAACTTTTTGAGTATGTGCATATGTTAACCTAACTAGGTTTTCGTCAAATGTAGCAGTTATTAGCTTGATACGCATTGTTAGTTATTTTGTTTTTGAAGTTTAGATTAGTAGTTGTCTATATATAATGTTTGTACCATACTTGACCAATCCCGAAACTACCGAGCACCGGCCAACGCTATACTGTCAAGGACCCAGAAGAGTTCCCCTCCGACCAGGAGGCCAATCACTACTCGACACGTGTCTTGGTACAAGCCAATCAGAGCGCAGCACGTGTCAACATCAAGAACCAATCATAACATGACACATGTCAATGTGACAAAGCTACAAGTTTTTCTATAAATAGGGGTCATCCCCCCACAATATGGCCTAATGCCATTTTGGATTAAATCATTCACAAGAACTCACTAAATTGAGAGCTTGATCCTTTGTACTTGTGTAAGCCCTTCACTACTAATAAGAACTCCTCTACTCCGTGGACGTAGCCAATCTGGGTGAACCACGTACATCCTGTGTTTGCTTCTCTGTCTCTATTCATTTACGTACTTATCCTCACTAGTGACCGAAGCAACCAAGCGAAGGTCACAAAACCTGACACTTTCTGTTGTACCAAAGTCTTCGTTGATTTTGTGCATCAACATTTGGCGCCGTCTGTGGGAAACGACACTTATTCCTACTCTCTTCAGCTATGTCAAGCTGGTTTCTATCATTCGTACACTTTCTTTTGATCAGGCATCCCTCTCCAACATGGGAAGCGAAGGAAGCCACAGCACACAGAATGACACCCCCCTTGCACATAGTGCGAAACAACCAAAGAAGGAAGGAAAACGAGTTCTTCTTCAAGCTAAAGTCGATGAGTTGGAAGCTCAGAACAACAAGATAGCAATGAGGAATGAGGTCCTCCAGGAGCAATATGAGAAGCTCTTCGAGACACTCCACGAAGCTAGGCAAGCTCAGACACGCGAGCTTGTTGCCCCCGTGGAAGTCAACCATCAACTGGGTGCCCTCCAACATGGAGGATCACATGCATTCGACATAGATATCCCTGATAGGGAACAGATTACCCCTCGACTTGATAATCAACATGAGGCTTCTCTTAACCCAGTTGCTTCGACCCGAACCATGAGAAGTGGAGGGAGACACCTCTTTGCTGAAGGGGCAGAAGGATCGAAAGCCGTCTTTCGCGATTGTCGGGATTTCCTGAAGCAGCGTCGAGAGAATTCCATCCATATAAGCTCAAAGATCAATGACCCAAGGATTTCTGAGAGACTCGGTCCCCTGCCACGGCCCGACCCGGCCACCAATTTGGGGAAGGGGCAACAAGTCCTAGAGAGACATGAGGGTACAGGGGACTCAGAGGTGTTCCGACAGACATACCCTGGAAGCCAGTACAACGAGTCCAGGGAAAAATCACATGCCCTTGATCAAACCTTCCTAATTCCAATAGGAGATGGAGATTTACGAAAGAAAGCTCCAGTGGCACATAACTCCGCTCAGGACCCCCTTGTCCTACAACTTCTTGAGGAAGTAAACAAGTTGAAGGCTGAACGTCAGGCTGAAATACCTGACTGGAACCAACCCAGGCCTGGCCCTCTTACAAGGAGGATCCTCAACACCCCCCTTCAAGCAAAGACAAAGCAAAAGCTTGGCTTGCAACTTTATACTGGAAAAGAGGACCCGATTGAGCACCTTAACCTCTTTGAGTCCACCATGGCATACCGGATGCACACCGACGAAGAGCGATGTCTTCTCTTCCCCTCCACCCTCTCTGGCGGAGCTCTAAATTGGTATTGTCGTCTTACACCTGAGACGGTAGACTCATTTGAGGAATTGAGGAAACTATTTGTTTCCCAACACATTTTCCAAACCGATCGCTTGCACTCTGCAGATGACCTGTACACTATCCGCCAGAAGCCAGACGAGTCATTACGTATGTATGCTGGCCGCTTCAGCCATGAATACTCCCGGTGTGCCGAGGCAGACGACAAGACTGCCCTCAAAGCCTTCACGGCAGGCCTACGTGATTGTTTCTTTAAATACATGATCAATGCCAATACTTGGAAGACTTACTCTGAGGTGATGGCGCAGGCTTATAACCATGCCTCCGCCGAGGCAAAGACATATCAGGAGAAACCCCCTACAACCATCCTTTATCAACAAGTGGGAGGTGGAAGCCAGACTCACCTAAATGAGAAGACCTCGACTTTCCAAACAGCAGTGGCACCTCCCCATGCCTTGCATAATGCTTCGCCGAATCAACAGACATATCAATTTCAAGGCAAGAGGAAGGATTTCCATCCTCACCACTCTCATTTCAGTAAAAAGAGTAAGGGACACTATCCCGATAACCAATGGTATCGCCACAATAACGCTCGCCCCCAGGCAGTCAATGCAGTGGGTCAAACCCGCGTCAAAATACCCCTACCCCAAGGTATGAGACATACATGCCCTTGAATGCCACATGCGCGGGCCATTTACCCCAGCATAGCTCACCTGATACCAAAGCCAAAGCCGAGGCACCCAGATTACACGCCCCCCGAATAACGCGGGCATGTTTTGTTGCTACCATGAGCATAACGGCCATGATAGCGAGAAATGTATCATCCTCCGTGATCGTATTGAAGCTTTTGGCACGAGAAGGAAAAATTGATCAATTCCTCCTTCACCCTCAAAGGGATAACCGTAACCAACGCCAGGTGAATGTCATATATTCCATAAGCGGCGGCACACCCATATCTGAATCTTCCAATAGGGCCATGAAAAAACAGTGAACGAATTCTGAGGCCTGGTCACCAAGTGTTTCACGTGGAAGACATCAGGGGAGGGAAGTATCAAAAAGCCTAACTGGGATCCGATATGTTTCTACCCTGAGGAAGAAAGAGGCATCATCTACCCTCATAACGACCCATTGATCGTGGAGGCTCACATAGCCAACTTTGATGTTCGACGAATCCTCGTAGACACAGGGGCTTCGATCAATATCATGTTTGCCGAAGCTTTCAGGGCACTCAGTGTAGCTGAACACTTGCTCGATCGCTCGATTTCTCCTCTGATAAGCTTCTCCGGTGATATCGTGCAACCCTTAGGGAGCATACATTTACCCTTTACTATTGGTACAGGCCCTTACACGGCTACCATTACCACTAACTTCCTAGTGGTTGACTGCCCAACGACATACAATGTCATCTTTGGGCGCACAGGCATCAATGATCTCAAGGCTATGGTATCCACGCATATGCTGTTGATGAAATTTCCAACCCCCCATGGCAACGGCTACATCAGAGGAGATCAGCTTTAGTGCACGATCATGTTACAACACTTCAGTTAAGCAACAACACTTGCCCGGACCCAAGGAAACCCTGTCTGTACATGACCAAGTCACAAAGACCAGCCTAGATGAAGCGAACTTGGATCTTCCTGATAGCAACAATCAACCCGATGATCCTCGAGATGACTCTTTCACCCAGCAAGCCCAACCTGCTGAAGAGTTGGAGAAGGTACCTATCTCAAGAGATTATCCAGATCGCATGGTGAAGATTGGCACCACATTGTCACCACCCCTTCGGTTAGCATTGATATCTTTTTTGAAAAAGAACACTGAAGTCTTCGCCTGGTCATACGAGGACATGCCAGGCATCTCTCCCGATGTCATCTGTCATCGTTTGAGTATTGACCCCAAGATCAAGCCGGTGAGACAGAAGCGAAGATCTTATGACGCTGAACGATACGAGGCAATGAAAGCAGAAGTTGAAAAACTCAAAGGCATAGGCTTTGTCCGCGAAGTCAATTACCCGACATGGGTAGCAAATGTGGTCCATTGTTAAGAAAAAATCCGACCAAAGAAAGTCTTTTGCTTCAAAAGGTCTTGTGGAGAATGTGTGTTGACTACACCGACCTAAACAAAGGGTGTCCGAAAGATAGCTTCCCTCTTCCTCTTATTGACAGACTTATAGACTCTACGGCCGGGTGTGAACTCCTGAGCTTCATGGATGCTTACTCAGGATACAACCAAATCCTCATGAACCCTTCGGATCAAGAACACACAGCCTTCACTACCGACAGAGGACTATACTGCTATAAAGTCATGCCTTTCGGCCTAAAAGAATGCAGGAGCGACTTATCAGAGACTAGTCAACTCAATGTTCGCCGAGCAGATTGGGAAGAGCATGGAAGTTTACGTTGATGATATGTTAGTCAAAGAGCAAACATGCTGACCAACACATCACCAACCTATCTGAAACTTTCACTATTTTGAAGAGGTATCGAATGAGGTTAAACCCCAACAAATGTGCCTTCGGCGTAGGCTCTGGCAAATTCTTAGGTTTCATGATTAGCCAACGAGGCATTGAAGCTAATCCCGAGAAGATCAAAGCAATCCTCGACATGAAGGAACCGGTAACTTCAAAGGACATCCAGAGCCTTACTGGCAAGGTGGCAGCCTTAACCAGGTTCATTTCTAAGGCCACAGACAAATGTGCTCCCTTTTTTAAAGCACTTAAGGGAAGTAGGA